CCACAGATGCATCTCGAGCAGGTCCAAGGAGGTGATCCTCCCCCTCTATGCAGCACTGGTCAGGCCGCAGTTGGAGTACTGCGTCCAGTTCTGGGCGACACACTTCAAGAGGGATGTGGACAACATAGAGAGGGTCCAGAGGAGGGCCACTCGCATGATCAGGGGGCAGCAGGGCAGACCCTACGAGGAGAGGCTACGGGACCTGAGCCTGTTCAGCCTCCACAAGAGAAGGCTGAGGGGGGATTTAGTGGCCTGTTGCAAACTAGTCAGGGGGGATCAGCAGGCACTGGGGAAGTCCCTGTTCCCCCGAGCACTACCAGGAGTGATCAGGAATAACAGGCACAAGCTGGCAGAGGGTAGATTTAGGCTAGATAAGATATCAGGGGGCGCTACTTCACGGTCAGGGTGGCTAGGATCTGGAACCAACTTCCAAGAGTAGTGGTGCTGGCTCCTACCCTGGGGGTCTTTAAGAGGAGGTTAGATGAACACCTTGCTGGGGTTGTTTGACCCCAGTAATCCTTCCTGCCATGGCAGGGGGTCGGACTAAATGATCTACTCAGGTCCTTTCCGACCCTAGAAACTATGAAACTTAAGACATGGTTTTCAGGACCCAATTGTGTCATAAGTCCGAGGACTGCCTGTAATCTATTTCTTTTCTTTCTCTACTAGCTCTAATAAAAAATGAAAAATTTTCTTCTGGACTTACTTTCATGGATTTTTTAAGTTGTTTAGCATCAAATACTGCTGGGGGTGTAACAAGAGCAACCATGACACGCTCCAGATTGCCTGAGAGATCGCTTTTCAAGTCATCTTTCAGGTCCTAAACAAATAAAAAGAAAAGACTCTGGATGACTATTGCTTTCACAGATCACATAATCCCAATAGAAATGGTAACCTACAGGAGCCTGTATGTTGCTACTCCAATATTTCTACTCTGTTTCTTTTCAATCATTTCTACTGTTGGAAGCATCTTGCCCCCAGCTGTGCTGCATTTTATGTTCCTTTTTTTAATTTAGAAAGTGAATTCTATCTTTGACTAAGCTACATTGAAATTTAAAGCCATAGATGAAGTGCCTTCAAAATAACCACATACTGTCTATGTGACTTTTAAAAACTGTAGGAATGCAGACCTACTGCTTCTGAAGACAAAACAGAGAAGGCAGAGAATTACACACCAGAGCAGTGAAACACTGCAATCAGAGGTATCGCAAAAGGGAACTTCTGGCCCCATGCTCCAATACATTTGTTGCCTTCCGCAAAATAATTAGCAAAAGTGGCTTTATCTAAAGGATGTAATCCATACTGAAATACGAGCAGCACTTTAATTTTGCATCTAGCTTCTCAACGCATCCTTCACATTTTAAAAGACTGTCAGTCAGGCTTTTTCCCTTAGTATTTATTTTTATGTGCTATTACGTTCTCATGGAGTTACTTCATTCATTCTCAAATACTGTCTCATAATGAAAGTTAGTGTAGAGTTATTGTATATTAGGGTCATTTTTCTGGACATTGTATAGTGTTATCTTTTAACTGGCCACACTGCTCCTCCAAGTATATACCTTTCCTGATGCTGCCAAGTACTCCTTAGCAATCAGCTGTCGCTGAATATTTGATCTCTCAGTGAGAATGTCGATCAGGGTTTTCTCATCAGTCCCTAAAAGAAAACATTTTACTTCAAGTTTAAAACCATGACAGCACACCCACCACCGCAGTAAAGATGCATTCAGACAATGAATTGGGAAAGTAATCACATTAATTCATTTTTTTGTCCTTCAGTAAGGGAGCATGTTAGTAACAGAAATCTTGTCACCATTTTGTCAATGTGCTCTGGTTGCCATTAAAATTCTCTCCATCATGAATGCTTGCAGAAAACAAACAAGACGTTGAAATGGCAAAAGTCACTTTCACATAGACAAGAAGTATGTGTCACTGAATGAAGTGAATCAGCTGTGCTGCTATGGGTTTATGTCCTGCCTACATGCAATCAGTAACTAGGAAGACTGGGGCACACTTGCATCCTGAGAAAAGGGAATGATTATAACCCCAGTGACCCGGTACAGGATAACCAGATGTACCTAGGTCTCGTCTCTATGGCTGGAAGCAGACATTGCCTGATGCCTCATTTGTGCTGCCATGCTGATGCTGATCTGCTTCACTGGGCAAAACACACATCACCCGTTGCCCCACCCTTGATGGTGCAGGACAAGAGGTGATGTGATCTCCAAGCCTTCCCTGTTCAACCAGACTTGCTCCTGTGATCATGGGGGGTGGGTCTGGCTGAGCAGGGAAACCCAATTTTCCTGCTTGTGGAGAGGTACCCAAAGATTCCCTTGAATGCCTCTCTGTAAGCTGAAAAAGCAAGCAGGTGCTCTGGAGCTTGAGGGGCCCTCAAGCCCCTACAGCACTTGCGTGGGGTGGCTGGAGAGTAGAGGCAGCTCAGGTTGCCCCTAGTCTCCTGAGAGACAGTTAATAGACAACTGAATCAATCATAAAGCAGCAGAGTCTGTTACTACTTTCTGTCACACCACTGATTTTCCTTTGATGTGGTGTGACAAAGGGTAGCCATATCTATTAGCTCACAATTTGTGCCACCATACATTTTTTGGTGACGCAGATGAGACATCAGGCGACACGTGTTTCAAACCATAGAGACAAGACCTAGGTACTTCTATTATCTTGGTAACCAGGGGTGACTGTGGTTGTAATCATTCCTGTTTCTCATGATGTGAGCATGCCCCAGTCCTCCTAGTTACCAACGGCATGTAAGCATGACAGTAAATTCCAGCACTTTAAAACAAAGCTATGAAGCCAGAGACAAAAAATAGAGTGTCTGAATTTCCACACAGGAAGGGAGTTTAGCTGCATATTTACCAATTCCTCTGATTGCTTTCCGAATTGCTTCTGCATCTCTGGATGCATTGAAGCTGGGATAATCTCGGATGGTTCCTCTGTTTCCAACCTAGGGACAAAAACTACATTTTGAGACCTAGTAGCAGCAAAAATCCCAACCTTATTTAAAGTCTTAAATTTTATACAACTTGTTTCCATTGCTTTGGATTTTCAGCATTACATTTCTAAACTAGTTTTTACTATTTAATTGAGCTTAGAGCTGAGGTGTCAATTTCTAGATTCTAATCAGTTCTGCTACCAGTTCTTTCTGTAACCTTAGACAAGTTACTCTGCTTTGCTTTCTGTAGGTATACAATAGGAGAATAATATCTACATTCAGTTAACTGCTTCTCTTGCCACGCTTCAAAAAGGTAAAGAACTTAATCTGTACAATGCACTGTTACTAAACTATGAAGGTACACTGTTTTTTTCCTAACATATTTCTATAGCCAAACTTGTGTCTTAATAGATTCACCAGAAAGGTTGATGCCAATCTGTCCCCTGCATGCTCAGAAGCCTTTTGAAGTACTGACCTCTGAGCCAGATGAGAGGTGGGAAAGCACATTCACCACTTTTTGTACACAACTGAAAACTCCAGTTTGGTACTAAAACATGCTGAGAGAAAAAGAAGATTGTACATGTTTGGAAATGTGAGCAATTAAATGAAATTATATGCCTATTGTTCAGTCTAAAATGTGGCTTCTGAACAGAAGTAGAATATAAATTTTAAGCAACTGCAAAAAGACTGTATATCAATGCAAATTAGCTTGCTATCAACCATTAATTGAGTTGCTTTCCTTCCCTCTCTATTACTGTCACGTGGGAGGATGATGATGAATTTGAAAGCCACTAAAACAGGGTGTGGATGATGCTAGGGAAAGACAATTTGCTATGGTATCAGTTGCAAAATAAAGTTTACTGCTCCATTAATCAAATTCAAAAGTGGACACCAGATTCTGACAAAAAACATTTCTGTATTTATTATGCTTATATACAAACACCAGTTTATAAATTAAAATAATAATTTGGGTCCTCACACACTGAAATTATGCAGGATGTTATCAATGAAGGTGTACATGAAGTAAAAGGGTTATGGATTTATGGTAGTATATCAAAGTGGGTGGGGATTTCATGTATATTTTAACAGAAGAGGAGAACAGTTTGGTCAAAAAGGAAGGAGGAGTTTGTTACATTGTTTGTCTTCATAACAAATTTTCAAAAAATGGAACCTAATTTAGGGAATGTCAGTTTTCTCTAAGTATTTAGGATGCAAAATTGAAAATGTGTTGGGCCTCATCTTCTGATATAGTAATTAGCAACCACAAATCCAAATGGCGCCAGTAGGAGCTGTAGTTGGACACCACTATCAAGATTTAGGCCCCAAGTGTGTCAAAAATGTTTGCATCCAAAGTCAGGGGCTACTTTTGAAAGTTTGGCTCCATGGCTAGGGACAGACATTACACATAAACCAGTTTAAGTGATCAGAAACTGGTTTAAACCTGTAACAGAATAGATATTCAGTGCACATAAATCAGTTTCAAAATGGCTGAAACTGGTTTGAGATAAACCTGGTTGAATGTAGGACCAGACTTAACTGATTTGGCTCAAACCAGTTTATGCAATGTCTGTCCTAGACCCCTTCCTGGTTTACGTTAAACCAGAGTCCCCCAGCATCCCAGAATGCTCTCTAGGCTGGGCCCTCTGCTCCCCAGCCAAGCAGGGACAGGGGTCTGACCAGAGAGGGGGTTAATTCCCCCCTCCCTGTCCCACTGGCAGGGACCAGAACCAAGTGCTCCCCACTTGCTCCCCACCTTGCTGCAGTGGCAGGCTGCCATGGCCCCTGAAGCAGAGGGGGGAGAGGGGTATTCCCTCCTCTACCTCCACTGTCCCTGGGGGACCGCAGCTGGGTCTGCCTCCCTGACCACCACCACCACCACTTCCTCCTTGCTTGGGACAAGCAGCGGAATAAGCCCCTCTGCTGGAAACCGGAGAGAGGGGGAATAATCCCCATCCCTGCCCCAGCCAGCTGATGTCCAGCCACATCCCCGCCCAGCTGCTGCAGTGGCGAGGGGGCAGGGCCTTTGATGGGGGCAGCAGCCCCTGTCATAGTGTCAGGGAGTGCAAGCCCCTTCCCAGCAAGGGGGTCCCTGCTGGAGGGCGGGCAAAGCTGAGGAGGACTACATGCGTCAGCACCAGGGCCCAAAGGGGGCCAGAGCCCCACAAGCACTGCTACCATGGTCCACACCAGCTTTCCTTGCCTCACAGCAGCTTTCGCCACCAGGAAGAAGCTCATGCTTGGGGAAACCGTGACAGGGGCTGCTGCCCCCTCATGGCTCCAGCAACTGAGTGAGGGCAGAGCGAGATGCCAGCCAGCAGGGCCCTTTGGGAGGGGGACAGAGAGTGGGGTTATTTCCCCTTCTACTCCCAGGGCACCACAGTGGGGTCTGCCTGTCCCAGCTGCCACCACTCGCTCTGTGCCCAGGGCAAGCAGCAGAATAATCCCCCTCCTGCCCCCTTCCCACTAGTGTCCAGTGGAGGGGGCTTATTCCGTTGCTTGCCCTGGGCACAGAGCGAGTGGCGGTGGCAGTGGCTGGGGCGGGCAGACCTTGCTGCAGTGCCCTGGAGGCAGAGCGGTGAATAACCCCACTCTCTGCCCCCCACCCAAGGGGCCCTACTGGTGGCATCTGGCCCTGGCCCTGCCCCCGCCTGGCTGCTGGAGCAGTGAGGTAGGCGTGACCATGATGGGGGCACAGGGCAGTTTCCCTGAGCATAAGCCTCTTCCCAGTGGCAGGTCACGCTGCGGAGCAGGGAAAGCTGCTGCAGAGTGCAGCTGCAGCAAAGTGTGGGGGGGGGGG